ACAACAAAAAAGAAAAGCTTGTAGTTAGTTCAAGGACTGTTTGTTGGCCTTTAGGAGTGTTTTCCGGTTGAGTCTGATGGGGTGCCACGCCCTGGCCCCAAAGTCTATTTTTGGTATTCCCTGGGGATTTCGTTGCTCTGTTACCCTTGATGTTCTGTTGCATGCCCTTAAGTGTTTTGCCTTGGTGTCATGGGATCAGATTGGGCGCATTCCCACGCTGTTAGACCACCTTATGAATGTGGTGGATTGGTGGCGTTCTCCCATTATCCTGTTCACTGGGTTTATGCCCGGCAAGAGGAATAGAGAGTATCAATATATTCTCCCAGCTCTGTTGGAAAAGCGTCATTGAGACCTAAAGGGAGATACCTTGAAGAGGAGAGGGGAACATGTCATTACACCCTGTGGAGTCATAACTAGAAATTTTATAAATGAACGAAGTAGTTAATAATTGGGCATTATTAATCAAGTATAGCACCTCATAGCTTTCTATTGAAATAATCTTGTTAATCAGGCTAAACCAAAACCCACACTCATTACCATCAAGTAAATTTCATTTCATAGGAAGCCTGTAGGACAGGGTAAAACTACCCCTGTGGGTTTCCAAGGCTGTAACCTTTGATGAGAGTAGAAAGCTTCAGCTCTCTCCCGCAGAGTGGCTGGTGATTTCAACCTGCTGAGCCTGTGGCAAACAGTCCAACAGGTAACAACCCCTGCACCACCAGGGTGTACTTAGTTGAGATAAGAATGATTGCTTTTACCCTTCCCTCTAACTAAAAGCGCGTGTGTCATGGTGAATGCTTTCAAGAATCATTATGTAAAATAAGGATACTACCTCAATACCAGTAACCTGGAGTAATATTTCCCTTGCAGTGTCCTGCTAGCAACGCTATTTATCAAAAGGTCCATGGTTCTGGACCACCTTCCTCCCTGGCAATTTGAAGATTGTAGCTTTGGAAACCCTACAGGGCAGTTCTACTTTGTCCTGCAGGGTCACAGTGTTCGTTTCCCACTACCATCAAGAAGGTACTGCTACAGGACTCAAGTTCTATCACACATAGCTGCTCACATTTTGCAGTTAAAAAGTTTCACTTTATTTCTGCAATACAATTTTACCCACAGTGATGTGTTGATTGGGACTCATGACTTATTATACTGTTAAAGGCTCCTTTGTTGAATAATTATGTGCAATTCAATAAATTTCATGGAGAATTGCTTTTTTAGAAATATCACAATGACATAAAAGGAGAAGCATTAAACAGATCTCCCCCTCCTCCCATTTTAGGTTACTTGGAACAAGGACTGCTGGTGAGGGAAGAGACTAAACTTCTAAAAAAATATAAATCTGATATGCAATTTAAACTTGATGTCTTATCCATGGTACCCACTGATCTGCTATTTTTTAAGCTGGGGTGGAGCTACCCCGAAATTAGATTAAACAGACTGTTAAGGATCTCTCGTATGTTTGAGTTCTTCCAGAGAACAGAAACAAGGACAAACTACCCTAACATCTTCAGGATTTCTAACCTTGTTATGTATATCGTCATCATCATCCATTGGAATGCTTGTGTGTACTACTCTATTTCCAAAGCAATTGGATTTGGAAGTGACACATGGGTCTATCCTGATGTTAATGACCCTGAGTTTGGCCGTTTGGCAAGAAAATACGTATACAGCCTCTACTGGTCTACACTGACTCTGACCACCATTGGTGAAACACCACCTCCTGTAAGAGATTCTGAGTATATCTTTGTGGTGATTGATTTTCTCATCGGAGTGTTAATTTTTGCCACCATTGTTGGTAACATAGGTTCTATGATTTCCAACATGAATGCAGCTAGAGCAGAATTCCAAGCAAGAATTGATGCTATAAAGCAATATATGCATTTTCGAAATGTAAGCAAAGACATGGAAAAGAGAGTTATCAAGTGGTTTGACTATCTGTGGACCAACAAAAAAACAGTGGATGAGAAGGAAGTCTTGAAGTATCTACCTGATAAACTAAGGGCAGAGATTGCCATCAATGTTCATTTAGACACACTGAAAAAGGTGCGCATTTTTGCTGACTGCGAAGCTGGCCTGCTAGTAGAGTTGGTCCTGAAATTACAACCCCAAGTCTACAGTCCTGGAGATTACATTTGCAAGAAAGGAGATATTGGACGGGAGATGTACATCATCAAGGAAGGCAAGCTCGCCGTGGTGGCAGATGATGGGATTACTCAATTTGTGGTACTGAGCGATGGCAGCTACTTTGGTGAGATCAGCATTCTTAACATTAAAGGCAGCAAAGCTGGAAATAGAAGAACAGCCAATATTAAAAGTATTGGATACTCAGATCTCTTTTGTCTCTCAAAAGATGATCTCATGGAAGCGCTGACTGAGTACCCAGATGCCAAAACTATGCTAGAAGAGAAAGGGAAACAAATTTTAATGAAAGATGGCCTATTGGATGTAAATATCGCAAATGCTGGGGGAGATCCCAAAGATCTTGAAGAGAAGGTCACCAGAATGGAGGGTTCAGTCGACCTTCTGCAAACAAGGTTTGCCCGGATCCTGGCTGAGTATGAGTCTATGCAAGGGAAACTGAAGCAGAGACTAACCAAGGTTGAGAAATTTCTGAAACCAATTATTGATATAGAATTTTCAACCATAGAAGAGTCTGGAATGGAAAGTGGACCCACAAACTCTGCACAAGACTAAAAAATTAGTTATTTAATTTAGCTAAATTTAACTAAAAAAAGGTCATTCCTCATAATCTTTTTGGTCATGCGATCATAATTCATTGTACTAGGATGAAGAGGGAGTCTCACTTGGAGGATTTTCCCACAAGGAATATATGCTTTGGTGGAGGCATGCAACTCACACATCCTTATGGGAGGTACTGTGAATAAAGAACTGATATCTTGAAATTTTTCATAAGGGATAATGTGCAAAGGTATAAACTGATTGACTTGCTAGCATTGCTGTCTTCTGAATGTTTCCATATATGTTCCCATTTATGTAATAATCTTCATAAAAGTGGACAAGTATCCCTCACTTTCAGGCACTTGTATTATCAGGAGTGAACTGAGTTCTGAGTATCTGGGAATTACCATGTACTTCATGTTGGAATAAAAAATAAGAATCACCGATGAAACATAACTTTTCTCTAGTTCTTTAATGCTTCCCCCCACCCCCCTTACTATCATGATCCCAATTCTACCTTACAATTCAGGCTGGACCAGAGGATGTACACTGGTACAGATCAGAGTTGGAAACACAGGGAATCCAGGACATATGAACCTCTCAGGTCCAATAATGAGAGTAGTGATGCCAGGAGGGGAATGGGAAGGTGGGGGAGAAAGGGGAAAACGATCATAAGGATCTACATATAACCCCCTCCCTGGGGGACGGATAAAAGAAAAGTGGGTGAAGGGAGACACTGGACAGTGTAAGACATGACAAAATAATAATAATTTATAAATTATCAAGGATTCCTGGGGGAGGGAAGGGAAAAATGAGAAGCTGATACCAAGGGCTCAAGTAGAAAGAAATTATTTTATGAATGATGATGGCAACAAATGTACTTGACACAAAGGATGTATGGATTGTGATAAGAGTTGTACGAACCCCCAATAAAGTGGTTTTTAAAAAAAAGACAGCTAATAATAAAAAAAAAAAGAGTTAAAAAAAGAAGAAAAAAAAATAGTGGCAAGAATCATTTATATAATTTTTTTAAATGCTGTGACTACTAAGGCCTGACAGCAGTGACTAAAGAAAGATATTATGAGGGGGCTTTACAGAGTTCATAGAAAAATGGAATTGAGAGATAATGGAATTCTTCTATAAACTTTTTAAATCCCTTTCGTACATCTGAGAGAATAACAGGGGGAAATGTAGTGGTTGAATAAAATACCTGAAAGTTCTGTGGCCTATCACCAGTGTCAACAAGGAGCTCCTTACAAATACAAAATCTAGGGCTCATTTCAGCCCTATAGTATTAGAATTTACATTTTAATAAGATCTCAGGTGAGTCATATACATTAAAGGTTGAAAAGCACTTGTTCTGGAGAACCAGAAAATGGTGCATATGAGAATGGCTTTAGTCAGGAAAAAGAAACTATGTGACAAATGTCTAGTTATGGAAGATTCTTGAGATGAATATAAAATGCTTAGTTCTTGTCTTAAGCTGAGTTCACTAGAAAAGGAAAACCAATGAAGTTCATAAATGTATATTTAAAGAAATTTCTATTAAGAAAATGAGTCACACAGTTATAATCCAGGCAGAGTCCAATTCTGCTTCAGATGTTAAGCAGAAGACCTCTCCTCTGGGGAGTTGGATTCAAGATTGACAGGAATACTCCCAGTGAATGAACCCAAGATTAGCAGGTCAGACTTGTGGTCGTAGAGGTGAGTGGATCTTGGAAAGCAGGTCAGATGGCAGGCAAACACAATTCCTAGGATTGGAATATGGAAAACTTTTGCCTCAACTCCAAAGAACTAGAGGATGATGAACAAGAGTCAGGATCCAGATCCAACAAATAACAAGCAGGAGTTTCCACAGCATCTACTGATTTTGGAAGAAGGGCATATACAACTTCCTTTCAATCCATTGCTTCAAGGCTGTGATCTAAGTAAAGGTGTTGCATCTCACCCTAATCCTCTTGAAATGGATTGCCTATGATTACATTGTTAGGTCAGGCTATGGGGCTTACTAGGTGTTAACTGCCAAGCCACTGAGAATCTGGGCCCATCCAAGTTGACACAAAACGTAGCTATTACAACTGTGAAGGTATATATATATCTATATATATATATAAATCTTTCTTAACACAGATCACTGAGATTGATATGAGATTGCTTTCTCTGCCTGTGGTAATATGACTTAACACTGCTTCTGCTTAATTTGGCATTTCTGATATTTATACAAGGCTCAATCAGTGTATGTCAAGGGTATAATTTACTAAAATAATACCTATTGAAAGTATATTATCTTTTTGCAGTCCTGGTGCTTCCTTTCTGTGTTTTACTCAATATCATTTGGCAAGCATTTCTTCACTACAGAGGAAGTGTAAAATGCAGTGAGTGTGAGGGTGATATGTGATAGGTTCTCTGACACCAGCTGTCTTTTCCACGGCACGTTCAGTTTCTCTGCTGGTTCAAGAATTTCTTTCAGTGGCCATGCAGACATCTCATACCATGCTTCCAGCTATGTGGCTCCTTAGGAGAGTGACAGTTTATCAATCCAGCTCAGGATACAGCTCTTCATTAGGAAAGCTTCTCAGTCTCTCGACTCTCAGCCCTTCAGGCTGACCCAGCCATTATCTGGCTTGGGCAATTGTTAAATAGCTCTTTAGATCCACACCTAAGTGCCCAAAGGCACCCACTCTGCTAGCAATCCTCCTGCCTAAGGTGTTCCCTTTTCTGACTCCATAGATTGAGATGCAACTACTCCTGCCTGTCACCTGGTTCAGCTGCCACTTTTTCTTGGCTGCAGCTTCTCACTGTGTCTTGCTGACTTTTGGTGCCACAGCTCGTTCTCTCTCTCCTGTGTCTAGGAGGTTCACCGTGCAAGAACCCCTTGTCCAAAGGATGTGCTCTACTCCTGTCTCACCTTGGCAGTCCAAGTCTTCCTTGCTCTGTTGCTTCTCTCTCCTTGTAAAATAAAAGGTGTGACTCGAATACGGCCACGCCTTCAGTAAACTGGGAAAAGTGCTGATTTGAATAAGGATGCTAAGCGGGGTGACTTGAGTCACACCCTTTAATAAGGCAGTGATTCAAGATACATCCCTCTCTAATGTTGCCTCATTAATATTATAGACAGCTCCAAAATGGGATCCTAGCCAGAGGTTTAGAGGCTAGGGATTACAACACATCACCAAGTGTGGGCTAATACATAAGAACACATAATGATGGGCACTGCACAACGGCGGGAGTCATGGCCTAACCATATTGACACACATTTTGAAAGACACCATTCCATTCATGTCACTGCACCTTTAGTTGCACCCAATCATTGGTGGGAGTCACAAGGCTATGGCTAGAAGGATCATAATTAAGTAATTCACAGCACAGCAGTGCCCAAGCAGGAGCTCATCTTCTCACAATCCAGAGACCGGCCATGTGCCAGCTTTGCCTGCCACACTCTAAAATCCTTGTGTGGTACAAATGGCTCACATGCCGGCTACTAATCAGAGAGTTTAGAGGTCCAAGTCCATGCAGAAGTTGCCCAGAAAAAAAGGCCTGCCTGGTGAGCTACTTGTGAAATATCAGCCAAATAAAACCCTAGTGAACAGAGTTCTATTTTGACCTTTAATGAGGTCAGCATGAGTTGAATCGACTTGATGAAAATTAGTATTTGGACTCTAATTGGCTGCCCAGAATTAACATCAGAATATAGCAAGACAAAGATCTTCTGATGATACAAATAGTTTTCAAACAGCAGCTAATCTAAAGGTTGAGAGCTTTTACCTACTCAGTCACTCTGCAGAAGAATCTATAAAGATTACAGTCGAGAAAAC